GTATGGCCGCAAGTTGCTAACCTAATAAAATTAGCACTAGAAAAGCCCGCGGGAACTGTCAAATTCAAAGTTATTCGTTTCACAGACTATAGCTATAATCACACTATCTTTTTTAAATCCCCCTGTATATTCTTACATCTTAGTGTACGGCCACACTGAAACGCCATTAATGCGACACAAAAGCGTTTAGCATTTAAAGCTATCTACAGGGTTATTTTCTTCATTTGACACGGAGTCCTGTAGCCACACGATTAGATTTTTAAAAATTGTTAGTGATGAGATCTTTGGAGGACTACAAAGCTACAACTTGAAATTAATGAGTGTCTGAAGTAAATAAAAAAAAATATCAAAGTTGTATTTTTTTAAAACAGAACACCCTGTATATTATTACATTTTTTGTATCTACGATTAAAATAAAGGTAAATTTAATAAAGGTTTACCGCACTTTTTTTGACATATTTACAAATTTTAATTTCAATATTTCATGAGTAATTGATAAATGAGGTCTCTATTATAAGAAAATGCATTTTCTACGAAAACTTGAAGAGATAGGTAAAAACTGATATTATACAGGGTTGTTCACCACATACGACACGGAGTATTGTAGCTAAATGATGAGATCTTTACAAATTGTAAGTTTTGGGTTCGATGAAGGACTATTAGAGGTACAATTTAAAAATAATTTTACATGATACAGAGTGTCCCAAATAAGTAAAAAATATCTAAGTTGTATTTTTTTAAATGGAACACCCTGTATATTATTACATTTTTAGTTTCTACGATTAAAATAAAGGTAAATTTGATTAAGGTTAATGATACTTAAACCTTACCGTTTTTGAAATATTTTCAATTTTGTGAAATTGCAGTAAACATTTTAAGGCTTCATTTCTCCAAGGGTATCAAAGTTTTTAATACTAAATATTTACTGAAGTTTATTTATTGATCAGTTATTGTGTTGCAATAATAAAAATAATACAACCTTATACAGAGTGTCTAAAAATTTATTTTAAATAATTATTAGCTTCAAACGGCAATAACTTGTTTAATTTAAATGGAACGCCCTGTATATTTTAGGAGAATCAGATGCACAATTTAATTGTCTATCAAGTTGTGTTATGCCATTTTTTACCTGTCCCTTCAAGTTTTCGTAGAAAATGCATTTTCTTATAAATTAGACCTCATTTATCAATATACCCGTGGAATATTGCATTTGAGATTGTTTTTAAAGATGTACCAAATTTTTAAAGAGTACAGATACTAATATCGTCGATATAATTCGTTTATTTCATTAAAAAAATAAAAAAAAACTGTTTAAATATTTGTTAAAGAGGACCAATTAATATATGATTCCAGTATTCAAACTACATGAACTGACTGTTTGCGTTGATTAATAATAATTGCTCCAAATACTAAAAAACTGAATTTTATATGGGTATTAGACAGTGTGATAAAAAGTAACACCTTAAAAATGATATTTCATTTTTTAATAAATGTTTATTTATAACAACAGAGACTTTAATTGTGATAACTTATTATTATATTGATTTCTGACTCAAATCCACATTTATTTAGAATAATTTATTAACACAACACAATTAACTATGTAATTAATTAGTATATGGGCGGAAATAATGGTGTTATATTTAATTAATGGTATACTCTTTTATAAAGATTTAAATAGTTTTCTTTTTGCATACAAATGGGCTAGTAATATTATCGTTTTGCTAAAAACGATAATATTACTAGCCTGTACATTTTGTACATTTGTTGCTTTAAAAACAATCTCAAATGTCAATATTCCATGGGTATATCTATAAATGAGGTCTAAATTATAAGAAAATGCTTTTTCTACGAAAACTTGTAGGGATAGGTAAAAAATGGTATAATACAATTTGATAGACAATTAAATTGTGCTTCTGATTCTCCTAAAATATACAGGACATTCTATTTAAATTAAAGAAGTTATTGGCGTTTAAAGCTAGAAATTATTTAAAATAAATTTTTAGACACTCTGTATAAGGTAGTATTATTTTTATTATTGCAACACAATAACTGATCAATAAATAAACTTCATTAAATATTTAGTATTAAACACTCTGATACCCTTGGAGAAACCAAGCCTTAAAATTTTTACTGCAATTTCACAAAATTGAAAATATTTCAAAAACGGTAAGGTTTAAGTATAATAAACCTTAATCAAATTTACCATTATTTTAATCGTAGAAATTAAAAATGTAATAATATACAGGGTGTTCCTTTTAAAAAAATACAACTTTGATATTTTTTACTTATTTGGGATACTCTGTATCTTGTAAAATTATTTTTAAATTGTACCTCTAATAGTCCTACATCGAACCCAAAACTTGAAATTTGTAAAAATATAATCGTTTAGCTACAATACTCCGTGTCGTATGTGGTGAACAACCCTGTATAATTTGATGGACAATTAAATTGGGCATCTGACTAAAGTAAAATATACAGGGTGTTTACCCTTTTAAATCATTAGTTACCATTTAAATTAAACAAGTTATTACCGTTTAAAGCTAGTAATTATTTAATATAAATTTTAGACACTCTGTATAAGGTAGTATAATTTTTATTATTGCAACACAAAATTCAGTAAATAGAAATACTTCAGTACAATATTTGGTTTTAAAAACTTAAATATGCTTAGAGAAATGAAGCATTAAAATTATTACTGTATTTTGACAAAAACCTAAATATTTTAAAAACGGTAATGTTTACGTGTGATAAACCTTAATCAAACTTACCTTTATTTTAATCGTGGAAACTAAAAATGTAATAATATACAGGGTGTTTCATTTAAAAAAATTATAGCTTTGATATTTTTTATTTATTTGGGACACTGTATCTTATAAAATATTTTTAAATTGTAGCTTTAATAGTTTTTCAACGAACCCAAAACTTACAACTTGTAAAAATCTAATCATCTGGCTACAGTATTCGTGTCGAATGAGGTGAATAACCCTGTATGAATTTTTTTGAATGTTTCAGTAATTTTATTATCATTCCTAAAATATCGTGTAGTTTGTCATAAACCTTGATAAAAATCAGCTCTATAGGGCATTTATTTGAATTCTAGTCGCAGAAAACACGTAAATTACATTAAATCACAATAACATCTAGAAAAAAGTAAAAACAAGGTCAAAATAATTTTTAAAATAAAACATACTAAAGTGACTTTTAGTTCTTTATGTGTTTAATTTTTTTATTAATTCTCGTTAACAACCGATTTGTTTATGTCTATAAATCCCTGATTTTCCCGCAAGATAGGAACAGCAGCGAGCCTACTAATAATTGACACATCAAAATGAAATGAAAACGTAATAAGAAATAAAATAAAAACCAAACCGAGAGAACATACGCGTCACGAAAAATCACTAAGACAGGATATCCATCCCCCAATTTCAATAAAAAATATAACACAGACGAAGCTAGAGTCCTATCCTCACGCTAAATCTAACCTTAGTACGGTTTAATCCGGCGTTTTAAGTGGTTGAAACCGCACATGCGTGATAACTGAAGTTTCCCTCTGACGTTAACTTGACGTTCTTTAAAATGAAATGGGTGCCAAGTTATTTAAAGAACATGTCAAAGATCTTGTCCTGACTGAAACACGTAAAATTAATTGAAATGAAAAACAAAATTTGAACACTTTAAACAACAATGGTGAATAAATAAAAAGAAAGACCAAAAACCAATCTTATTGCATGTTTTTAGAGGACTCTGATTCGTCCGTTGCGAGTAGTGACAACATGGGGTCTACTGGCAGCACCGCTTGTTAGAAACAATGCAATATTTAAGTAATAAAGTCATTCTCAAATTTACAAGATTCTTGGTCATTATTATTATTAATTTAATAAGCTAAATAACTTTAAAAATAAAAAATAAAAATTAAGTTTTTCAAAAAGTTGTATTTTATTTTAATAAAAGTATTTATAAAATACGTATTTTATATCTAGTATTTCAAATACCTTTTTCAAAAGCATTTTGTAACTGATATCTGAAATACTTTGCTTAGAAGCATTTTGTAAATTGTATTTCAGATACTTTTTAATGAGGTATCTAGGTATAGTAGTATATCTAGCCAGGAAGTGGAAAATACTTAAAAATTAAAGTACTCGTCAAAATACCCTGCATTTTATACAGGGTGGTCAGAAGTGTATTCCTGAAACTTTGGCAGCATATTCTGGAGATAAAAATAAGTAAAAAAGTTCGTATAAACGTATGTCCTAAAATGCTTAAGTTTCGGAGATACAGGGTGTAGAAGTTTCATTTTTATTTCGATTTTTTCCCAATAATTTCTGAAGTAACGTCAATACTGGGATGAAAGTTTGTATCTGGAAGTTTTTTGACGTGAGAAATTTGATTATGGTGTCAATATGACTTATAATATGTAGAGGGCGCCACCTACATATTTTTAGCAGGTTTGAAAAGTAATAACTTTTCGTCCGTATCTGTATAAAACTATTAAGTAAAAAAATATACATTTACGTTTTTTTATGTAAGAAAGGTCTCTTGGTAAACGTTGCTACAATTAATGGTTCTCGAGATTTTGGAGTTGAAATTATCAATACCTGTCATCATTGACATAAATTAAACATGTTGACTAATTAGTTATTAGTTATTAGACTGAAATCATAAATTTTAATTGTTTTTGTGCCAAAAGCTGAACAGAAACTGTTTTATCGTCATTTATCCGAAGAAAAATTTACGATTAATTTAAAAAAAATTAAAAAGTTCGCAAATTTATCATTTCAGTTAAATAATTTTGACTATTTCCATTCTAAATATCTTGAGAACGGTTGCTCCTAGAGATTTTTATCAAGAGACATTTTTTACGTAAAAAATTACGAAATATTTTTTCACTCAGTAGTTTTATACGGGTACGACTCTTCAAAACAGTTAAAACACATGTAGGTCGAGCGCTCTACAAACAGGAGTCATATTGACATCAAAATCAAATTTCTCATGTCAAAAAACTCCCAGACATCAATTTTCATCCAAATTTTGACGTTCAGAAATTATTTGGAAAAAATCGAAATAAAAATCAGACTCCTACATCCTGTACCTTCAAAACTAAGCATTTTAAGGCATACATTTATAGGAACTCTTTTACTTATTTTATCTAAAGAATATGCTGCCGAAGTTTCCAGAAAACATTTCGGACCACCCTGTATATGCTTTTTACGTTGCGTTGGTTAGAACCCGAAGTATCAATACCATTGCACACACATTTTCAACCACTTAAAACCGCACAGACCTACCCTTTATTACATTTTAATCGCCGACCTCGATCAGCGCTTCGCCACCTCGATCTTGCTCAAACTGAGCGCCATCTCTAGTTCCTCCTCCTCCCGCTTCCGGCGCTCGCGTCGCTCCCGTTCCGCCTCCAAGCTCTCCCGCGCCGCCCACGCCATCTGCTGGTCCTCCGTCGGAAGCGCGGCCAGATCGATCGGCGCAGACGCGCGACCGCTACTGAACGATAAACTACCCGCGTCCTTCGGTAGAGGGACCGATTGGCGACCGCCCAGCTCGAAAGCGCCGAATGGATCGAATTTAGCCTCAGATCTCGACGAATAAGGCTGGAAAGTTGTGGCATTAGGGTCAAGTTTCGAGGAATTACCATTCTTATCATCGTCGTCGTCTTCGAAGGTGATGTTAAAAGGATCCTCGTAACGATAGTCCTTGAAAGGGTCATCGGAGAAATCCAGGCCTTTGGTGGGAGGGGCAGGCTTGACAGGTGGAAGGTTGGCGGTTGATCGTGTTGTTGGTGGTGGTGGCGGCGCTGGCGGGAACTGAAGATACGTTTAAAGTTATTAAGGCTGTAAAAAGGAAGCGAGAGAAAACCGGGTGTTAGTAGGTTGGATTCTGTGTCCTCCGGGGCTGCACCTAAATGATTGATTAGTTTTTCTAAAGCTAAAGAAAGAATAAAAAAATAGCGTACAGATCGTTTTACAGTTTGCAAGTTCTATCATGAAATAATTGTGTAAATAGAAATTTATATATACACCCACTAGAGAAAGGAAGTTCTTTTCTGCTAATGTTATTTGACTTTTCTGGTGATAGATTTGTTATTTAACTTTTCTGGGGATAGTGAGTACTCATGGATTTCCCATCAAAAAATTAGAATTTATTAATCTTATTTTTATTTTAATTTCACTAATTGTGATTAATAAAATTGCGTTTACCACAATAAAGGAGACTGAATTCGACAAAATATCAAGAGATAACTTTTAATTGGCATTAAACGGCCGACACAATTTTGATATCAAAAGAACTCAGTGGCGCACGTTTTTTTTTTGAAAAATATTCCAGTGATAACCCATATGTGCACGTCCATGATGAATTTATTGATACTTTTGTTGCATTAAAATATGTAGCACTTATAGTAACTTTTACTTTCAAAATTTCGTTCGAATCACTAAAAGTACTTGAAAGAAAGTTATAATAAATCGAAAGATTATTAAGATTTTAACACCCTGTAGCCACGAAACAAAGCAGAATCGGACCTATGTTGACAAGAAAAATAAAAAAATCTTATTTTTACGTGAGGAATCTCCCCACGAGAGATGGCAAATGTTTTTTGAAACACCCTATATACACACACTGGACAAGGAAAGTTCTTTTCTGTAAATTTTATTTGACTTTTCTGGTGATAGGTTTGCAGATCGTGAGTTTGAAATATAAAAAATCACTATTATTGCATGTTATAGAACTTGCAAAATATAAAACGATTATTGGCAAAAAACTGCTTGTGATACTTGCTGCTGTGACTGTCTATCATGCGAAACCAGTGGGCTAACTAAATAAAATATAAAGAAAACATTAAAATAATCATAAAAAATAAGTACATGTAAATAACGAAATTTCGGGAATGCTACAAAGGAATTTTGGAATTGTTAAAGCAGAATTTAGAGAAATATACACGTTTTTTGTAAAATTTGTTTAGTAGTATATTTATCATAAACACATTTAAAAAATATTATCAGAAATGTCGTTTAAATATTAAAAACTAAATATATTAGTGTAAAAAATCATCAAAATATCAATCAGTAATAAATAGAAATGTTTATACTTTCTTTAATGTGCTTACAAAATTACGAAAATATAAATATTTTGTTAATACTTTAATCAAAAGGTAATGGTGTAGAGAGGTGTTTTGGAACATACCTTGGGATGATCCCAGTCTGAGAACCAGGACTTGAATAAAGGACAGGACATGGAATTTGAAATGATATCCAGGAGGTAACTACGGTGCAAACACTAATAAAAATACTCATGCTGGTCTACTCCAAAGAAATAATTACAGACAGAAACTGATAATCTATTATTAACCGGATAATTTGATATTTTTACCTTCGTTCAGTGTGGATCATTTATTTATTAGACTGTATTAAAATTTTTAAATAAACTCTTTTATTTTTCGTTTAGAGGTCATCGGTTCATTCATCATAATTTTTGCGTTGTTAAAATCCACTCTGTGTCCTGTGTCCCACGAATGCTGACAAATTTTAGTTTTGCGAAAATTGCCATTTTTTAATAATCTTTATTGAATTCGAACATTTAACGGTCTAGATGTTTCACCAATATAAAATTTATCACATTCGTCACAATTTATTCTTCGAAAGCTGATTTAAGGCTCAAAATTTAAGTCTTTTTGCAAATGATTTGGTGATTTAAATCTTTATTCCGAAATAGAAAAAGATTTAAGTTTTTTTTAGAACAGACTTAAGTCATTAAAAGGATTTAAGTCTGAAAAAAGAGAAAAACAAAACTCAATTTGTGGGGTTATTTGGCAACGTTAACGTTTGACAGATGACGTGTTACATAAACGGTTCAAAATCTAAAATGACAGTACCTGGCCAACAAATTTTGTCGGTTATTTTTCACAAACTGTGCATGATCAGTATAACGTTTAGCGTTTTACGTCATTTACCAAATAGGCGACCTAAAAACTCTCTATTATGGCAACGATATGCGGTATTAACGGAGACGTTATTTTGGCAGCTATGAAAGTTAAAGTGTCATAATAAGCGTTTGTGCGCTATTAACGTTACTGCATCCCCGTATTTAGGTAGAGAAAACGCCGCGCCGCGCCGTGCGGTAATTTGACAGTTTCGGAACGTTATTTTATCAGTTGAGATACTGTATTTTGTATTTTTTATAAAAATTGAGATAACTCTTTATTGGGTTAACTTGTACTCTTTTTTAGACACACTTTCTTTTAGACACTAATTAAAACTCCTGATATATTTAATAGCTATTTTTTTTATAGAAATAAAAAAAAATTATGAATATAAACGCTCTTTTGATTGACAAAATGAGAAAACTAGGTTAAGTCTAAATTTTTAAAAATGTTGGCATAATCGTCAAAATCAATCAACGCTATATTGTGTTGCCATAACTCGTTGCCACTGTTCGACAGACACAAATGTCAAAATAACGTCAGCGCTAACAGCGGAATTGCGGCAGTATTGGACTTTGCCATATCTCTCTAGTGATCAAAACACATCACCACTCATCACTTTTTAATAGACATGTTACATACAAAATTGGTTAAATTTTATAGAAAAAAATATTTTTGTGTTTGTAGTTCTGAAAATTAACCATTTTATTTTATGTGGTTTCTGTCTCATTTGTATCTACAATTTTACTTTTTTCTTCAGATAAAAAAACGAGATTTGGTACGTTAGTATAAGACATAAATTAGGATTGGTTGACGTATTCAATTGTTTTCTGTCACTTCCTGTTTCACCGGAAATGACTACAACTTTTGATTTTTAAACGGCACCCTCGGTATTTTTTTACTTTATTCGATAGAAAATGACATTCTAAATAGAATGACATATCATATGTGAACTTTTGAAATTTTTGCTTAAACTAAAACTGAATTTTAAATTCCAATCTAAAGTGCCATGGCGGTGTTAAAAACGTTAATTTTTAATCAAGGAGCCTTGGAAAAATATATTTGATCGTTTAATATTATTCGTGTCTTGTCCTGGCCGGTTAAACGATGCCTAAATCGTATTTTTAATCATATCTCAATTTTTTCAAATGGAACGAGAGTGGCTCATTAGCGTATTTGAAAAAATCATTTTTTTACAAATAATTTGGTACCACACACATGGTATTTCGAGTCAAATTGCCGTTATGAATCGCATGTTACTATTTCAAATAAACCATATTAGAAAATGTCAAAGTTGACATATGATATGTCATTCTATTCAGTGTGTAATTTTCTATTGAATAAAGCAACAAAACACCGAGGGTACCATTTAAAAATAAAAAGTTGTAGTCATCTCCGGTGAAACAGGAAGCGACAAAAAACAACTGAATACGTCAATCAATCTTAATTTATGTCATATATTAATATAAGAAATCTCGATTTTTATTTGAAAAAATAAAAAAGTTATAGAGGTGACCCACTTTTGAGACGCACCCGGTATATGTACGAAAAATAAATTGATATAAAAATCAGAAAATCGATAATTATGTACCGTAAATTTATAAAGCTACATATTTGAATATTAAAAATTAGTAATATTATATCAAAATCAAACACTTTCTGTCTGCAATTTTACTCTAAGTACCATACAAAGAACATAATACGATTATTTAACGCCTGATCAGGCGACCAACCAATCAACATTAACTACTTTTTACCTTCGAATCGAAGTTGGCGAAGTCAGCGAATCCATCCCCACCTTCACCTCCGAACGGATCGCTACCGAACGCGTCCTGTTGCTTTTTTACAGGGGCTGGAGGCTGCGAGGGTCTCGGAGGTGCCGGTCGCGGGGGCGGCTGCTTGCTCTTTTTGGGCGGCAGCGCGGGGCTGGGACTGGAAGGCCGAGGAGGCGGCGCTCCGCCGCTGCCGGTGGTGATCTGTTCGGCGCGGGTGGGGGCGTGTAGGACCGCGAAGGGGTCGCAGCCGAACGGGTCCTTGTCCGGCTGAAGAACAAGGGTAAAATGTTTAGTTTGTTTACTGGTTACAGGTGTTACTAGATCATAAACATAAAACATATTTTGATGGATAATTTTCAAACCATTATCTTAACCAAGGACATCTAAATAAAGGGAGACAAAACAATTTACATTTTATCGCGATCACGAACCGTGTTCCGCAAAAATCGATGATGACATTTACGCGGTATGCGATAGAATAGGGTTTTAGTTCCAAATGTTATTATTGTTATTAATGTTTTTCGGGTACCTATAGAAACGTTAAACCAGAGCGTTAAACTAAATATTTGTATAGGTATATAACTTCAATTAATATACATAGATTGTGCCAGGAGTATACTTTTGAAATTAATTTTAGTTTTCTAATTAAATTTAGCGATGGGAACTATCGAATGAATTAGACTATCGAATGGTTACTGAATGAATGATTTCAACTATCGAATAGTTTTATTCGAATAAAATCATTCATTCATTTGTATACTAAAGCATATGTGACAACCTCGCCGCGACTAAATGGTTATCGTTGCGCCACGAGCCACGACTATCGAATACTTTTGATAAATGAAATTTAGTATTCGTTTGATTTTTGTATGCGTCAGAGCGTTTATTAAAATATTTAAAATACTAAAATAGTAGTTTTTTTTTAATTGACGATTGTGTGCGAAGTGGTCAAAATTTTTCCGAAAATTTGTGTGATTTTCCGTAGCCCGATCTTTCAATTATTTAATTTTATATGGTATATTATGGTTAGGTTAGATTGCATTTTTTAATGGGAAATTTTGAGAAGTAGCAATTTTTAAGAGAGATGAGATGAACTTACAATTAATTTTAAAAATACATATTTGTATTTTAAATGTTTTAATAATATGAATTAGTTGAACTTAATAATCATATTTAAGTAATGTGGTTAAGTAAAAGGTTATCGAACTCAAATTTTGGGGTGATAAAATTAAATTGAAAGTTTTACACGTGCCAATTTTAAAAAAAAGTTAACAATGTTTGTATTTTGTTTATGCTAATTCACTTACATGTAGTTTTTGCGAAGAAATATTTCATTTATTTTTAAAGTAAATACCAGTAAAAGTAAATATTATTTTAAATAGTAATATAAAGTAATAAAAAGTAGTATAAATAATTTTGATTTCTAATTTTGCATTTATATTTTCCTTCCATTACACTGCATGCTTAGAAAATTAATAAATGTTTATATTTCATGATTTTAAAATTTGTTGTTAATATAACAAATTATTTCTGTAATAATTATTATTTAATAAAACAACGTTGCCATTTAGAGACTATATTATTTTTAAATAGGATCTAATATAAATACTTTTGACTTCTATTTGTTGTTTATATTTTGCTACTACTTAAAAAAATGTTTATATTATTAAATGATTTTAAATTTTGTTGTTAATAGGTATAACAAATTTTTACTGCTATTATTATTTATAAAACCAGTCTTTGCTTAAAAACATTAAAAATCATTTTTCTACATCCAAAATAAAAAGTATTATTGCAGTGTAACAACAGAATATTAATAAAAAAATGCAAAACATATATAGATATACTATCCCTAACTAACTAATGCTAAAGAATAATATTCTTTGTTAATACCAACTAATACGAATATATGGCAACAGCGCCCTTCATAATGTATTTTCTCTGTAAATACTAGCACCTCAATAAAAAAAATAATGTGTCCTTATCTTTATTTGACTCCGCAAAAAATCAAAGATGTCGGCTTCTTTCATAGCATGGCCACCGACCGCTGTCGGGTTTCTAGGAAAGAAACCTACGTGGCCGGATGACAACTAAAATCTAGTTTATATTTTATTAAAATCGATCCTGACCAATAATAAATGAATTTGATAAATGAATGGTTTTTGCTGCCGAATTACTAGAATACAATATTTCAAGGCAGATGACGCATCTATTCGATAATTTTTATTCGAATAGTTTTCGACGAATGTTTTCTTACTAGCTATCGAATTATTCGAATGAATTGCAACTATCGAATGTTTCGATAGTATTCATTCGATAGTTCTCACTACTAATTAAATTATATTAGGGAAATTACAATGACAACTAGCGGCATCGCCGTGGATTCATCTTTACTACGAAATTGTCGAAATCTGTAGGAATTACGCTGACATTTGACGTTTTCATTTGTTTTTATTCAACTTATATTTGACAGCGCGCGGTTGTGAGTTTTCTATGGTAGTTGAAAATTTTTGTAGCTTTTGAACAACTTTTTAATAATTATTAGTGTTTATTGCAAAAAAACTATTTAAAGTAGTTTTTAACTATCTACCGATGGTTCGCCAGTGCATAGTTTGTAAAAAGGTGGACGATTCTAACCCGGAATTGATAAGTGTCATTACGTTTTTTTACCCTTAGCCATGCTTACAGTAGCGTATTTAAATACTTTTAGTTATAAGAAGATTACTACAAAAATACGTATATTTTCTTATTTGTTGGCGCTTTCGACTGTGAAATTAGAGTTACCCTCAGTTAGACCTCAGGCAAAACTAGTTATAATGGAAAATTGGTCTGAGGCAATCCCAATCAATTTTTGATAGAATTCATCAATTTTTGATAAAAAAAACATCACGCCACCGTCACGTCACTGATAGAGCCAAATGACAGAAAGACAGACGAAACTCAACCGTGTTGTCATATTTATGTACCCATCTCTTACTAACTCTCATAAAAGTGTCAAACCATGTATGATTCTAAAAAAATGAGTTTTATGAATGGAGTGTTCTGTCTACCCATCTAGATGTCTTTGATCTTAACTTAACTTAAAAAATCGCGACCTCGATTAAGTAACTAAAAGTTTAATCGGTATCGCTCTATATTTTTTCTTACCTCCGCTGCTGGTTGGGGTTTTTGTGGGTTATCAAAGGAATTAAACGGATCTGCTTGGTTGGTGGTGGCAAAAGACCCTCCAAATGGATCTGCCGAAAATCCATCCTGCAATATAGTTACTCACAATAAATATATTGCTCTCTCTCTCAAATAAGGATAATAAAGTAATTTCAGTTGAATATTAACATACAAAATACGTACGTCTATAGGTTTCGTAAAGGCCGCAGTGAAGGGATCGTTACCAGTTAAAGAGTTCTTTGGTTTGAACGGATCTGTATTAAAATAAAATGAGAAAAATCGCAATTGTATAAGTTCAAAATTAAAAATACTTACCGCTTTTGAATGGATCAGCTTCAAATCCACCATTCGATGCGCGGTGATTGAACGCATCGTCGCCAAATCCATTCTGAAAGTTCTATATCCAGATAATACAATAAATAACTTAAAAAAATCTTATATACTAAGGGTTTTTAAAGGTTAAGAAAACCTCAAAGATTAGTCTTGGGTCGAGATTTCCGTATGTAAGAGTACAATGCGTTTATAATGTACTGAACAAAGAGAGAACAGTAAAAACGTTGCCAAACGTATGAAATAAACCGTGAAACTGTGCACATTGCTAAGAGACGTGGAAGGGGATATAGCAGATTCGTCGCGGTCGACCCAACCCTGTACTTAAAATTCTAGAGAACGGAGTACATCATGCGTTCAGCTTCACGATTTAATTACGTCTCGCTATATTTTATTTGTTTATTTATTAACGGGTCGTTATAATTTTCCCTATAGCTGGTAAATTTTTAAGTGCAAGTTAGAAACACTTACACTTTTGGTAAAAATAAGTGGAATTGAGTTGGTGTTCGGCAGTGGTCGCGCTATTAGAACTCTGAATTCAAAATGAATCGATGTCTCAAAATCTATTAAAAATAATTGATTGTAGTTTTTTTCAAAAATTTTCTTAATATTTCTGCTATATTTTCTTCGTAGACAGTATGTGAAAATCTTTATAAATAAAAAAGTTACACGATTGCTGAAAATTGTGGAACATGGAAAAAACAACCTTATCGATTTTTTCTTATTTAGACATATTGCAAACGATCCGATCTTCAAAATAAAAAAAAGTTTCAATATCTAAAGTGGTTCATGAGTTACCGCGTGTTATGTGTTGTTGAATTTTTTAATTATCGCGATTATTGACGGTTTCTCGCTATAAAAAAATTGATACCCTAACGATATCCTTATAATTCCATTTCAGATGCTCAGAAACATATCTAATAATTTTATCTAGTTATCTTTTCGAAAAAAAGTCATTTAAAAATAAGCGGTTTGCGATCGCGATCTTACTTTACTTGACAGGGAAAGGCGTATTGAAGAAATGTGGCAACGCCGTAACAGCACACCGTCGCATTTCTCTCACTCCGACTTAATAAGATCCCTATGCGATTTACTTTCACACATGTAATACCGACCCAAAAGTAAGAGTTGCCAGCACGGTATGTATAGTTTTGAGAGAAAATCTTCAAAAATGTGTTCTTTGCGGCTATACTATGTTTTATACTAAGGGCTGGCAAAGGTTAGTCTTGGGTCGAGATTTCCGTATGTAAGAAGAGTACAATGCGTTTATAATGTACTGAACAAAGAGAGGACAGTAAACACGTTGCCAAACGTATGAAATAAACCGAGAAACTGTGCACATCGCTAAGAGACGTGGAAGGGGATATAGCAGATTTGTCGCATTTGACCGGTCGACCCAATCAATACCTCTGTCAGTACTTAAAGTTCTGGGGAAAGGTGTACGTCATGCGTCCAGCTTCACGATTTAATTACGTCTCGTGATACTTGATTTGTTTATTTATTAAAGAGTCGTAATTTTCCCTATAGCTTGAATTTTTTTAAGTGAAACACTAGAAACACTTGCATTTTTGGTAAAAATAAGTGGAATTGAGTGGGTGTTCGATAGTGGTCGCGCTATTAGAACTCTGAATTCAAAAATCGATATTTCGAAATCTATTAGAAATAATAGATTGTAGTTTTTTTCAAGAACTTTGTTAATATTTCTGCTGTATTTTCTTTGTAGACAGTATGTGAAAATCTTTATCAATAAAAAAATTACACAATTGCCGAAAATTGCTATGCTCTAAAAGCAAATGAATGGATTGTTTACAATTTTTGAATGGAAAAAACAACCTTATCGAATTTTTCTTATGTAAACATATTGTAAAATATCCGATCTTGAAAATAAAAAAAAAGTTTCAATATCTAAAGTGGTTCTTGAGTTATGGCCTGTTATGTCTTAAAAAATTGAGTTTTTAAATTATCGCGATTACTGACGTTTTCCCGTTATAAAAAAATGACACCCTAACGATATCCTTATAATTCCATTTCAGATGCGCAGAAACATGTCTAATGATTTTATCTAGTTATCCCTTGAAAAAAAGTCTTTTAAAAATAAGAGGTGTGCGATCGTGATTTTACTTTACTTGATAGGGAAAGGCGTATCGGCAACGCCGCAACAGCACACCGTCGCGCGTCGCGACGGTCGGTCGCACTTCTCTCAGTCTGACTTAATAAGATGTAACATGTAAATGCCGACCCAAAAGTAACAGTTGCCAGCACGGTATAGTAGAATAATACTTATAATTATTAGTCTTAGGAATAGTCTACAATATCAACTGACCTGCTTGGCTTCTCCGTTGGTCGATATCAGTTTAGAATACTCCGGGTCCCGGAATTCCGGTTTGATCCTGAGCGCCGTGTCCGGAACGTGATTGACGTCGCCGCTCTCTATACCCGTGTCGCATAGCGCTATTGCGTCGTTGATTTGCCTAGTCTGTTCTTGCAGTTGTGTGATCAGAGCCTTAGTCTATAGAAAAAAAAACAATACTAGTATTCTTTCGTTCTGAACGAACTAAAATTTTTCACTTAAACTGATTTATTGTAATCGCAAAACATTTTCCGATGTACGTCATCAATCATACCGACATTGACACTAAAGTCTATAAAGCTGACTAAATTAAATTTTGGCAAAAATGTTTAAATTTGTTGTATAATTTAAGATACCGAGCAGCTCTTCATTTTACTTTATAGAGTAAATGTACCGATTTCTTTCGAAAATCGACATCTATGAAAATATGAACCCTTCCTGGACACAAACGGTACATTGTGAGACAGGAAATTGTAGAGAGAAACAAGCCCTACAACATAGGATACAACATTTTAATGAACAGTGCTTTCCATAAAATCAATACAATGAAAAATATACGAAATAAAATAAATGTACTGATTTCTTTCGAAAATCGACATCTATGAAAATATGATGAACCCTTCCTGGACACAAACCGTACATTGTGAGACAGGAAATTGTAGAGAGAAACAAGCCCTATAACATAGGATACAACATTTTAATGAACAGTGCTTTCCATAAAATCAATAAAATGAAAAATATACGAAATAAAATAAATGTACCGATTTCTTTCGAAAATCGACATTATGAAAATATGAACCCTTCCTGGACACAAACGGTACATTGTGAGACAGGAAATTGTAGAGAGAAACAAGCCCTATATCATAGGATACAACATTTTAATGAACAGTGCTTCCCATAAAATCAATAAAATGAAAAATATACGAAATAAAATAAATGTACTGATTTCTTTCGAAAATCGACAACTATGAAAATATGAACCCTTCCTGGACACAAACGGTACATTGTGAGACAGGAAATTGTAGAGAGAAACAAGCTCTATAACATAGGATACAACATTTTAATGAACAGTGCTTTCCATAAAATCAATAAAATGAAAAATATACGAAATAAAATAAATGTACCTATTTCTTTTGAAAATCGACATCTAGGAAAATATGAACCCTTCCTGGACACAAACGGTACATTGTGAGACAGGAAATTGTAGAGAGAAACAAGCCCTACAACATAGGATACAACATTTTAATGAACAGTGCTTTCCATAAAATCAATACAATGAAAAATATACGAAATAAAATAAATGTACTGATTTCTTTCGAAAATCGACATCTATGAAAATATGAACCCTTCCTGGACACAAACCGTACATTGTGAGACAGGAAATTGTAGAGAGAAACAAGCCCTATAACATAGGATACAACATTTTAATGAACAGTGCTTTCCATAAAATCAATAAAATGAAAAATATACAAAATAAAATAAATGTACCGATTTCTTTCGAAAATCGACATCTATGAAAATATGAACCCTTCCTGGACACAAACGGTAAATTGTGAGACAGGAAATTGTAGAGAGAAACAAGCCCTATATCATAGGATACAACATTTTAATGAACAGTGCTTTCCATAAAATCAATACAATGAAAAATATACGAAATAAAATAAATGTACTGATGTCTTTCGAAAATCGACAACTATGAAAATATGTATGAACCCTTCCTGGACACAAACGGTACATTGTGAGACAGGAAATTGTAGAGAGAAACAAGCCCTATAACATAAGATACAACATTTTAATGAACAGTGCTTTCCATAAAATCAATAAAATGAAAAATATACGAAATAAAATAAATGTACCGATTTCTTTTGAAAATCGACATCTAGGAAAATATGAACCCTTCCTGGACACAAACGGTACATTGTGAGACAGGAAATTGTAGAGAGAAACAAGCCCTATAACATAGGATACAACATTTTAATGAACTGTTCTTTCCATAAAATCAATAAAATGAAAAATATACGAAATAAAATAAATGTACCTATTTCTTTTGAAAATCGACATCTAGGAAAATATGAACCCTTCCTGGACACAAACGGTACATTGTGAGACAGGAAATTGTAGAGAGAAACAAGCCCTATAACATAGGATACAACATTTTTATGAACAGTGCTTTCCATAAAATCAATAAAATGAAAAATATACGAAATAAAATAAATGTACCGATTTCTTTTGAAAATCGACATCTATGAAAATATGAACCCTTCCTGGACACAAACGGTACATTGTGAGACAGGAAATTGTAGAGAGAAACAAGCCCTATAACATAGGATACAACATTTTTATGAACAGTGCTTTCCATAAAATCAATAAAATGAAAAATATACAAAATAAAATAAATGTACCGATTTCTTTCTAAAACGTGACAATAAATGTCCTTTATTACCCTTGACTGCAGTCAGAAAAGTAAGTTTGATTGATAAGCATATTATGCCACTTTCATAGTTAGTTTTTATTAAATTCTGTGATTGTTTGTGCATTAATAGCACCCTCTTGTTATTACCACTTATGGCGTTGTAAGATTTACATCAATAAATAAATAACCTATAATAACGCTTATAATAATCTTCATAATGGACTAGTTTTGACCAATATGTAATAAGTAAGTAAAATAAAAGCTATAAAACAAATAAATCAATTAATTAATCACTAAAATATTAGTTACTAAATTAAAAATAAAACGTAAAACTCTTTAAAAAATGATATAATAAATATGTTGTTTCAAAAACGTATAGTCGTATTTATTTCTCAAGTCTTACTTGGCTTATTCTAAGCTGAGTGTCCTGTAAATTGGTAGTAATCGAGTCCAGTTTCTTCATACTCTCACTAATCTGTTGCTCTAGGCGTTCTTCTTCCTGCTTCAATCCATCCAGTTGTTCTTTTTTGCTTCTCAGTTCGTTCTCTTGAGTAGTAAGCAGTTCAGCCTGTTCGACAGCCTGAATTCTGAGCTTGTCGACCTAAATTAAAGTATTATTATAAATAAAAATGGCATATTAAGGCGGGTTTTCATCTATCAGTCTCATTGAAGCAGTATGACGACTTATTCAGGTTATTTCTAAACTCACATGCCAATTGGTTGTAATTTTGTAGTTATTTTATGTTTTCTAGATTAACAAAATATTTATAGACAAACTGAATGTACTAGCAGAAGGAAGCGTGTCAACACAAGCGTCGTTTCCCGTCTTTCGGTAACTCTGAATCATTACAAATAAAAACACTAAATCACCAGAATACACCAATATAACACATGATTAAAAACTTGTTTAAATCATCTGCTGATGATGGTTAGCGAAACGCGCGTCCAGTGCAAAAGTAAAAGTGTTTTGGTGTATTGTGGTGATTTAGTGTTTTATTTTGCTAACTCTGAATCAGTCAGACTGACCAATGAAAATCCGCCCTAGAGTATTTTACCATATTAGTTACAAAAATTTTAGCATTTTTTTATAGCAAAGTAATAAAATGATAGCTAGAAACTAACAGATTCATATTAAAAGACGACAGTATACAAGGTTTGTTATTTATTACAGAAGTATTTCCACACAAATATTTTTTTAGTTAGGGTTTGACATACCTAATCCAACATAGCATAAGTAACAATGCTTTGGAAAATCCCAATAAAAATATTTGGTCTCAAAACAATCCAAGTGACTTTGGAAACACTATACCAAAGGTAATAATATCTCAGGGTATAATAATAATACCGCAGAAATTTTTCATGCTTGTACCTAGGATTGTTTTAAACTATTATTATATTATTCCAGATATTGAGGTATACAGGGTGGCCCATCAAAAGCGTTCCGCAAGGCATAACGGGGTCAGGGTAATTTTTTTTCAGAAAATTCAAAAACACGTCAATTTTGTTTGTGAGGTTTTTGTAAAACTACAACGCACAAGTCACAGAACAGCTATCTAGCAACTACCGCACCTGATCGTTCAACCTTGTGGCAAGTGAAAAAATGCGCAAACGTCTAGAAATAATAAGAAAAAACAGCAAATTTGTCGAAGGAATTTATCCTTATTATTTACTCTGATAAATGTTTAAATAAACTTTTCAAATTTTAATCCTTCATATTTTCTCAATGACACGATCTCAATGACTCGACCAAAAACGAAGCGAGGAAATATAGAGAATAGAAAGCTCTTTTCATTGCGGCGCCACTTGACCCCCCTTCCCATTTGAAAAAAGTTGGGGGATGACACCCCCGCTTAGAGGGTTGAAGATTTTGCAATCACAGACAAAAGTGACGTGTTTTTGGATTTTTTTGACAAAAAAAATACCCCGGCCGTTATGCCTTGCGGAACGTTTTCGATGGGCCACCCTGTATATCAAAAGAACATATATAGTTTATTCCATGAAAGAATACAAGACAATTGTCTGTCATCTGGTGGTCGGATCTACCGCTTGTTATATACTGTGGTACGTTCCTTTAATACATATCTGAGTCTCTAGAAGTCTTTTAGGTTACATTTTATCAAATTAGTTACAAATATTATGAAACAATAAATGGTTTATCCCTCTTCTGATGAGGAAATTTACACAAAATATTATTTTTATAAAGAGATGCCAATGAGAACAGTGGCAATTTTAATGCAGATTTTTTTAGTATAGAGATATGCAGATATATTAGTATAACATCAATATCATAATAAATCTTCAATAATTCTAAAGTATAAATTAAGTAAGACAGTAATCAAAACATCTTAATCAAGAATCAACTGTATAAGTATTGATCTCTCTTCTATGCGGTATTCTCTGCGGAGATCTCTCTTCTATACGGTATTGCCCGATTTTGCATCAAAAATTCAAATCGCCCAAGAACAAGCTTAGGAAGAACATCTAGGACTGGATCTTTAATTCCAAATCAGTTACTCATTTTACTACAGCTGTAATAAACTCTTATTAAGCCTCGGTCTCAGAAGTAGATTATGTCGCTGGCAAAAACCACAAAAACAAACAATCATAGTTGTTAGTTTAGTAACTAAAGTCAAAATTGACAGTTGTTTGAATATAGTATGAATTATATTGGTTCTATGGGGTGTAGCCCGCGACACAATGTAGTTTTAGAACAAACCTTTCCACATTAAAATACGATTACTAGCATTATTTTTGAACTAATCTAAACAAACCAGTGAATATTTCTATGTGATTTAAAAATGACTGGAGAATCTAGAATTATATCCATATATTCCATATACAGGGTGGTTCGAACTGTATTATACCGAACTGCAGCATATTCTCCAGATAAAAATAAGTAAAAAAGTTCGTATAAATGTATGTCCTAAAATGCTTAGTTTCGGAGATACAGGGTGTAGAAGTTTCATTTTTATTTCGATTTTTCTCAAATAATTTCTGAAGTCATTTCAATATCTGGATAAAAATTGGTGTCTAAGAGTTTTTTGACATGAGAAATTTGATTTTGATGTCAATATGACTCCTAGTTGTAGAGGGCGCCACCTACATATGTTTTAACTGTTTTGAAGAGCAATAACTTTTCGTCCGTACCTGTATAAAACTACTGAGTGAAAAAATATTCATTTCCGTGATTTTTACGTAAAATATGTCTCTTGGTAAAAATCGCTACATTCTCAAGATATTTAGAATCGAAATAAACAATACATGTCATTATTGACAAAAAATTAACATATTGAGTAAATAGTTATTTGAAAGAAATTGACCACAGAATAAGTCTAATAGATATTTTATTCCAAGTTTTCAAGCAACAGAGATTGTGTTAGAAATAGATAGGTATATTTTATTGTTCCCTAGCACATAAAATTCTAATCTCTTTATCATATTAACGCATGAGAATACTTCCTACATGTGTACATATTTTTGTGTACCGTTTTTGTGCTCTCCTGTAAAATTAGGAATAATGGAGTTAGCAGTTTAACACGTTTCACCGACGATATGTTAAAGTCGGCAACGCTGTGCCGGCCAAGCTTATTCACGTGACTAAAGTTTATTTGGTATGATCTATACATTGCACTTATTATGAACAAAAAAAAATGTAAATAATTTACGAAAGTACCAACAAGATAAAGCATTATTCTCCCAAGCAAAAGTGTTAAAATGAAAAGTCAAAGCCTACCTGATTGACCTCCACCTCCAGCTCAGTGTTAAATCGATCGGAACCGAGATCATCGCTCTAACAAGAAAATAAAATAAAAGAAAAAAAAAACACAAGCACATAACAAAATAAGCTGAACTAGTTTAAAGTAAGACGGCAAGAATACTATAATTAATTAACTAAAGAAGAAGCTACTACAAGCTACTACACCGTGTCTTCCACCTGTCTAATAAGTTTTCTAGTTAGTAGTGTAATGGTGGACCTCACCTGAGCCTTGAGATCGTTCAGTCTTTTTTGTGCTTCGCCTTTTTGGTTCTCCAGTTGCTTTAGCGTGGCCGAAAGGGTGTCTAGCTCACTCTGTATATAAAAAAAGAAGTTATCAGTTGAAAAATAGTTATACAGGATGGTCCGAACTGTATTCCGAAAACTTCGGCCAGAGTATTGTACATAAAAATAAGTAAAAACGTTTGTATAAACTTATGTCCTAAAATGCTTCGTTTGGGAGATACAGGGTGTAGAAGTTTTATTTTTATTTCGATTTTTTCCTAATAATTTCTGAACTAAATTCGGTATTTTGATGAAAATGAGTATCTGGGGGTTTCTTAACATGAGAAATTTGATTTCTATGTCAATATGACTCCTACTTGTAGGGGACGCCACCTACAGCTTTTTAACTGGTTTGAAAAATAATAACTTTTCGTCCGTCCCTGTACTACAATACTGAGTGAAAAAATATACATTTGTGCTGTTTTCAACGTAAAAAATGTCTCTTGGTAAAAATCGCTGCGAGCAACCGTTCTCGAGATATTTGGATTCTTAATAATCAAAACATATGTCATCCATGACAAAAATTAAAGATTTTCACTAGAAAGATATTTAATTAAACTAATAATTTTTGAGACATTTTAGTATCATAGATGCAACTGAAGCTGTTTTAAAACCTAATTGTAAGTTTTCTAGAAATTTCGCGATTTTAAAACATTAATTAATTTAAAAACAAAAGTATGCAAGGCAAGACAACTTTAGTTAACAATAAGTTTATTTGAGCACAAATATAGTTTTTCTCGTCATTTTTACCTAAGAGGTGCCTTTTTTACCAAGAAGAGGTGAATTACTAAGAGGCGATTTTTACCAAGAGACCTTTTTTACGTAAAAAACGTAGTGAATGTTTATTTTTTAACTCTCTAGTTTTATACAGGTACGGACGAAAAGTTATTACTCTTCAAAACGGTTAAAACCTTTGAATAAGAAGACTAAGGAAGGAGCATATCAAAAATCTTAGGTACACCGCGATGGGCCTCAAATATGGCCGACTTAAATTCCGGTTTATCAGTGTCGTTCTAATTTTATTTAAAAAATGTAAAACTATGATGCAGGGTAGACGTGGGGTAGACTCAATAATTTGTTGTTTTATTTTACGTTGTGAATAAATGTTGGTAGTTATTAAAATTGTTATAAAAATATATAATTCTAATAAAAATAGATAAGTTATAATAAGTATTTATTAACACAAACATCCGATACGCTACTGAAGCAGGTAATTCAAATTAACGTATCTAAATTCTTTGACATCTAATCTTTGACAAGTAATAAATAAAAGCTAAAATGCAAGAAAAATATATAATTTAGTTAATTTAAGTGAATTTCATAAATGATCGGTTTACTACACCTATGTATATTATATAGTCACTTACTAGCGAAAAGTTGTTCCATTATTTCACTCAATTTTTGCCGAGATCTACCGCACGCTACACAACCAACTATTTTAGAGTCTTTTTCGATAAATCGCGATAGTGTCACTGTTAATTTAAGTGCTGCCACAATTTTCATCTAGATTTACTACCTTTATACAACTATCAGTAGTAGAATAAATAATAAATAACATAAAATAAGCTCCGCAAAGACTGACAAATCCACAAAATTTCAAATCAAATTCAAATGTGTCAAATGAATCGTCAAACAGAACTGTCAAGGATCCCCACCCTAGAGTGCCTTTATGGTGCTTTTTCCGCCCACCATGCATGAATACATGGATAGCATTATGCTCCTTCCTTAGTCTTCTTATTCAAAGGTTAAAACACATGTAGGTGGCGCCCTCTACAAGTAGGAGTCAAATTGACATCAAAATCAAATTTCTCATGTCAAAAAACTCCCAGACACCAATTTTCACCTAAATAATGACGTTACTTGAGAAATTATTTGGAAAAAATCGAAATAAACATGAAACTTCTACACCCTGTATCTCGGAAACTAATCATTTTAGGACATAAATTTATACGAACTTTTTTACTTATTTTTATGTGTAGAATACGCTGCCAAAGTTTCCCGAATACAGTTCGGACCATCCTGTATATGAAACTAGTTGAGATTTCTCTAAAGCTGTATTCGGCTTCTTGTTATTACCGATTCTGAACCGTCCTAGAACTCTGCAGCGCATGCGCAAACGAAATAATGTCTTCATATTTCCTTCGGTAATAAGAATCGGTAATAAGAGAATCGGTAATAAAGAATCGGTAATAAGAGAAACCCGAAGTAAGCTTATATGTAAGCTTGGTGCATTTCAGTTGATTTCAACTACGACAAGAAATATCAGAAATGATCATCGTATAGTTCACGCCGGCGCACAGTGCTTCGTCCCATGGACAAAAATCATAAAAAAAAGTTAAAATTTATTAATATCTGAATATGTAATTATATATTTATAGCAATGTTCAACCATCCTGTATATTATTTTTCATAAACAGCGTTTTTTGTTAGCAAATATTTTCACTAAAAATAAATTTTGCGATCATTATCTTATCAGTGAAAAGAATAACATTCATAGTAGTTCTGTATATTATGGAGTTAAACGGTACGTACTTAATTGAAAGCCACTATGGATATTGTTAAACAAGGAATGTACTTTAAATTTATTTCTAAACAAGTTCGTGATTGTTTAGTTTTTATTTATTTTTTAAGATGATTCTTAAATGGGTATAAAAATTTTACGTTTTCAAACTTCAAAAAGGCATTTAAAAAAACATATCAAAACATAACGTATTTATTGAATATATGTGTTGTCATATTCATACACTTTTAATTTTTGTATAGTTCACCTGCGTCTGCTTGCGACGAACTTTATTTTATAATACTTTTCAGATGGAGTAAAATTGATAAGCAATGCCGATCTGGTTAATACTTGGCTTGATCATAAGGACAAGAACTCAAAATTATTTGTATTTCAGAAAATGTGTTCTTTATTAGATATTGATGAACCTTCCAGTCAAATGAGACACCACTTGTGCCTGAAAAAGCCCACTATGTTGGAGCGAAACGTCGCATAAAAATTTTCCAACTTTCAATTATAAAACCTCATACCCAAGAAAAGGAAAAAATAATATATGGATATGGTCTATTAAAGAGGTAACTATTAATATCCGAACCCCTCATACCAGCAAGAAGAACAGTAACAACGCGAAAAATTAACTTATTAGAAAATGATGTACAGAAATATCTTATGTGAGGATACTTCATCTACCTGTGATTTGGATACTATAAATTTGGAAGATTCTGTCAGCAGTGATTCTTATGAATCAGAGTAGTTACGATCTATGCTTTTTGTTGTCCTAAAGTAAATTTATAGTATCATAAACTTAAGTTTTTTTTTAATTAAATATAACATTAATGTTTCTTTTTCATTAAAGAAAAACATATTTATCTTATATTAGGCTTATATTGTAGGAATCATGTTCTAATGTTATTTCAATTCTTTTTTTATCACAGGGATTTATTTAATACTTACACCGTTTTCATACTATAAATTATTATTTCCTTAGATGGAACACAGCTCCAACATTTTTATTATTTATAAGATTTTTTTCATAAACGTGGGACTAAGAACATCATCATTTAGTACAATGAGAGTACTCATCATTTGTGTCAAATAAACCTAGTTTGAATAAATTGCCTACTATAAAAGAGAAGTTTTTTGCATTTTTGTCCTCTAGAGCCATATGTTCGAAGCACTGTGCGGCGTCATGCGTCATGTCGATTGCTTTAAAATAACATTGAAATCGTGGTTTTGTCATAATATTTAAGTATTTTAGTTTTTTGCTAGTGCAGTTATTGAGACTATAACACTCAGGTACGAGGTTTGTGTAATGTAACGCCGTTTCGGGTAGTAAAAGTAAGTTTTCACTAAAAATTCGAATTAGGTGTCGTGTTGTGTTGTGAAAATTTCAAATGTTAATAAAATTGCCGAAAAAAAAGTAACGCGTAAAGAAGAGCGTAATTAAGGCGTTGTTAGGTGCAATAACATTCAATAACTCAACTTAACCGGATATTCAACTCTCCCGAAACTATTTTATAGCTTCATAGTTTCTCACGCCGATTTGATCAATACCAAAAATGGATTCAAGCAGTTCGACGAAACAAGTGAGTAAACAAAGTGCTCGTACATAATCAAAAAATTAAACAGATATATACTATGAGAGGATAAAACATAATTGGCAATATTAATGGTATACTTTTTTAATCAACTAGTGATTAAATGTGTTATGAACATCTTCTAAAATTATAATGTACCTTAAAAAATTTCGTTACACCGAAATAGCCCCAATTATTCCCCACTAGCAAAACCGGTGATTTAAAAAAAATATGCTCGCTACCGCAGTTGAACTCATCAAAAAAGTTTTTTTTAACTGGAATAATAAATTATAATACAAGTTAGACCTTCTGAAGATATCAAAATATTTACTTTTTATTTTTATTTTTAGAATTTTCACAAATTATACTTCTTAATACTTTTAAAATAATTAAATAATATATTTTTCGTATACTCGCTATTTAAACCCGTATATTTTTATATGCTATTTTTTACGATATTCTCCGATGGTGGCAGCACCGGCGGAGAATGCACCAAGCCTACAGATTAGATATCAAGTGTTACCTGTAGATTTTTTATTTCGCCCACTTTGATCTTGATGTCGGCTTCTTTTTGTGCTATGTCCGTTTCTAAGGCAAGTTTTTCCTTGCACAGTTCCTCGATGTCTTTGCTGATCATGTCCAGCTCCGGGTTCGAGTATCTTGTATTATTATTTTCCTGCAAGAAAAAAAAACAAACATTTCCATAAAATACCTGTAGGAATGTGTTAAACGTCAAGCAGTTTAAGCAGAATCGTGGTTAATCAATTACCCAACTTTTTAGAACACCCTGTATGATTTTTTAAAAAAATTCAAAATATGTAAAAAAAACAAATAAATTATGCGTGTCCAAGCGTTTTCCCGAAAGACTAACCGTTTTTTAAATAACAAATATTGTAATATTTGAGGGGCGTTTTCACCCTCTTGGAATTTGTGATTCGAGAAACCCCTCCTTATCGAACCTCTACATGCCACAGTCAATCCGTTTGCCAAAAATCAGCTTTAAACGTCAAGCAGTTTAAGCAGAATCGTGATTACTCAATGGTCATATTTTATGAAACACCCTGTATAAATTTATAAAAAATCTTAAAATATGCAAAACAACAATATAAAATATACGTGTTTAAGAGTTTTCCCGAAAAACTCACCGCTTTTTAAATAAAAAATACTTTAATATTTGAGGGATAGTTTCACCCCCTAAGAATTTGAGTTTCGAAAAATCCCTTCTTATCGAACCTCTACACCCTAAAGTCAATCTGTTTTCCAAAAATTAGCTTTTTACGTCAAGCGCTTTAAGCAGGATCGTGATTAATCAATGACCAGATTTTTCGAAACACCCTGTATACATTTTTAAAAAATCTTAAAATATGTAAAAAACAAAATAAAATATACGTGTTTAAGCGTTTTTTCGGAAACTTGACCGTTTTTTAAATAAAAAATATTGTAATATTTGAAGGGTGGTTTCACCCTCTTGGAACTGGAATTGCGAAAAATCCCTTCTTATCGAACCTCTACACCCTAGAATCAACCTGTATGCCAAAATTGAGCTTCTTACGTTGAGTGGTTTGAGCAGGATCGTGATTAATCACTATGTCAGTCAGTATGTCAGATTTTATATATTAGTATAGATTATGACAAAAGACATAATATGACAAAATGACAATTTTAGTTTCTTTCACATATCTTTTATTAATATTGTATTGTATAGGCACAATAGAAGCTGGAATATTTAGCAGTTCCTTGGATAAAATTAAGAAAAAAGCTAAGGAAGTATACGCTAAAAAACTGGGAAAAAGTACAGAAAAAAATACAAAAACATATTCTCAAATATTGATAAATATATTTAAGGTAAAAACCTGGATATTATGGGTCATCCAAAAAACGAATACCCTGGTTCAAACAAAAAATACAAAAATGAAAATCGAGAAAAATGGCAATTTTATTATGACTGTTTGAACAAACAGAAGCAATCTTTGGGGTCGCAAAAAACGGAGACTCCAGAGGCAATACTTGGATTTGAAGGATCCTTTATAAAGTTGGTGTTTGATATAAATGATGATACATAATAATAACAATAAATATTAAAAAGACAAGTATGACTGCAGTATTTAATAATTCAAAAATGAATTTAATATTCTTAAAAATTCACTTTGTTTTTTTTTTCAAAAACTTTTCAAATCTCCGTAGAATGGACTGCAAAATATGTTTAAGTCCTGCACAAAGTGACGACATGGAATCGGTTACATGGGAATGGGCGGATCCAGACAGAAAAGCTTTGGTTCCCATCGAATTTACCGAACATATCTTCGTTGCACCCGAAGACAAGTCACTGAGAATTTATAATTTGGATTCTAGCAGTACTGGACAGTACAGGTGCCGATTGGGACAGACAGTGACAGCACCGTATTTTTTAACTGTGGTCAATATGTCTGATTCATCGATAAGAGAAGTAAAATTTAGTGTTTCGAAGTTTGATAAAATACAATATCAATCAAAATTAGGACATAATATATTTTATATATTTTTTTAAAAAAATATCAATATACGGTAATCGCAAAACATTTTCCGATGCACGTCATCAATCATATCGATATTGACACTAAAGCCTATAAACCTGACTAAATGAAATTTTGGCCAAAAACGTTTAAATTTGTTGTATAATTTAAGATAGGTACCGAGCAGCTCTTCATTTTACTTTATAGAGCAAATGATTTTAACAGATATTTTATTTAGATTAAAGCTGCAAAAATTAGTTTAAAGCCATTTTTATTATCGCTATGTTGGTGACATTGCGCCGTGTTCAGCAATGTTGTCCTTTATTATTTGACAATTATCCTAGTGTCAGTCATTATTTTGTATAATATCGTGTTGTTGTTGAATCTTTGGGAGTAACTCTCAAACAAAAAATTGCACTTTAAGCACAAACAGTTCTTTTAAGAACTAAATTTTCGAGTTTTTGTAAAATATGCCGAAGCATTTAAACAGTCGAAGCAAAGGGCTTGTAGTTTTCCTGATAAAGTATTTTGAACGAGAACGAGATTTGCAGCGAGTAGCTGCTATCTTAAATTTAAATATCTCTACTGTGTATACAAGAACAGTTAACCTAATAGGACTGCTCGTTCAGCTAAAAGTGTCTGCCAGGTGCATGCGAAAACTCCTCGCTTTGTGACGTCATTGTAGTCCTTGTCATGGTTATTAGTCCTTATCCGGCAACCAATAATACATACACGTGCATTATTGGTTGCCGGATGCAAAACGTTCATGATTTAGTTTATTTATTTAAATACCTTATATGTGTGCAGTATAGAAAATTAACTGTATAAATCGTATTAAATACTCGGATAATGCATTTTTAAGAACAGCAGTTCCCAGCATCACCTTTTGCAGGCATTCTTTTAAGAGTACTTCCATATTTTGCTTTAAAATAATTAATAAACAATATGTCCGATTAAATGAATATCTCCGAAACTAAAGTTCCAAAAAATTCGTAATATATCTACAAATTCATTTACCCTCTAGTAGTTAAAAGCATTTTTGGTAAACTCTGTCTCTAATAGTTTCTGAAAAATAAAATTAATTTTTTTAAAAAGGCCCGATTAAATTTATATCTCCGAAACTAAAGTTCCAAAAAAATTCGTAATATATCTAGAAATTCATTTACCCACTAGTAGTTATAAAAAGCATTTTTGGTAAACTCTGTCTCTAATAGTTTCTGAAAAATAAAATTAATTTTTTTAAAAAGGCCCGATTAAATTTATATCTCCGAAACTAAAGTTCCAAAAAAATTCGTAATATATCTAGAAATTCATTTACCCACTAGTTGTTATAAAAAGCATTTTTGGTAAACTCTGTCTCTAATAGTTTCTGAAAAATAAAATTAATTTTTTTAAAAAGGTCCGATTAAATGAATATCTCCGAAACTAAAGTTCCAAAAAAAATCGTAATATATCTAGAAATTCATTTATCCACTAGTAGATATAAAAAGCATTTTTGGTAAACTCTGTCTCTAATAGTTTCTGAAAAATAAAATTAATTTTTTTAAAAAGGTCCGATTAAATGAATATCTCCGAAACTAAAGTTCCAAAAAAATTCGTAATATATCTAGAAATTCATTTACCCACTAGTAGTTATAAAAAAATAATTTTATTTTTCAGAAACTATAGAGACAGAGTTTACCAAAAATGCTTTTTATAACTACTAGTGGGTAAATGAATTTCTAGATATATTACGAATTTTTTTGGAACTTTAGTTTCGGAGATATTCATTTAATCGGACCTTTTTAAAAAAAATAATTTTATTTTTCAGAAACTATTAGGGACAGAGTTTACCAAAAATGCTTTTTATAACTACTAGGGGGTAAATGAATTTCTAGATATATTACGAATTTTTTTGGAACTTTAGTTTCGGAGATATTCATTTAATCGGACATTTTTAAAAAAATGAATTTTATTTTTCAGTAACTATTAGAGACAGAGTTTACGAAAAATGCTTTTTATAACAACTAGCGGGTAAATGAATTTGTAGATATATTACGAATTTTTTTGGAACTTTAGTTTCGGAGATATAAATTTAATCGGACCTTTTTAAAAAAATAATTTTATTTTTCAGAAACTATTAGAGACAGAGTTTACCAAAAATGATTTTTATAACTACTAGTGGGTAAATGAATTTCTAGATATATTACGAATTTTTTTGGAAATTTAGTTTCGGAGATATTCATTTAATCGGACATTTTTAAAAAAAATTAATATTAGGCACTTAGTAAGCACTTTGTCACAATCCACAACATAAAATGAACGTTTTATACAATCTATAGCTCTAAAAATTTTAGAAACACCTTTTTCACATTTAAAATTGACAAAATAATTAACTCAAAATTTCTCAGCTGTTATTTTTGTAAGTTTACCAGAGGCAACTAATAATACGCACTTTCATGACAAGAACTACAATGACGTCACAACTGTCAGCTGAAGCGCGGGAAGAGGCGAACGTACGTCTTATGAGGATGAGCAATCCTATTAGTTTACCGTTCTTGCTGTGAGTGTTAGTGACTACTGTTAATTAATTAACTACTAAAATATTAATTATTAAATTGAAAATAAAACGTAAAAATCTTTAAAAAATGATATATAATAAATATTATATTGTTTCCCAATTTTATATTCAGATTCATCTCATAAATTCATCACAATCTGGCAGCGCTGTCGCCATCGCTTACCACTCAAAATTGATCACGTGCATCGGAAATTCTTTTGCGATTACTATAGACATTTAAATAACAAAACTAATAATTTACAAGGTACACAATGTAAAAGCTCCTATAGGACCATATCCAAAAAACCCAGAAAATTTTGGGTCAAATCTAGTTCTAGACACTGAATGGGGAGAATGGTCAAGTTGTAGCAAATGTAATGGTATCGGAAAAAAGCACAAATTTGGATACTGCGAGATTTTGTTAAAGAATGCCCCAGTAGAAAACGTAATATATACCACACCTCTTTATTTAATTTATAATAAACACACTGTATACTGTGTGATACTAAATAACTCATGCTATTTAGTATCATATTCATATAATTTAATTATGTATATGAATTACTCAACAAACAAAGTGTCTAAAAATATAAAACTTTTGATGGAAAACGTTTTTAATATGAGAAATTATCCATTAATTATTTT